AAATAATATTTCATAAATTAAAAAGGTTTTTAAAATTCATTACGAAAATTACAAAGTGTATATCAGTGAAGTTTAAATAAAAGGAAACAAAAAAAAAGTTTCCCCAAGTTGTCAAATTACTTTCTATAAAAATCAAAAGCCTTAATTTGTCAATTATATAATGGCAACTATGAGTACAGCAATGAAATTAGTAAATATAGGAAGCTCTTTCCTTAAGTGTTATGACCCGGATACTATGGACTTTCTCAAATGGTTAAATCATTTTGAATATATAGTCGATTTCCTGCATATACAAAAAAATCTGAAGGTTGAATTTTTATTAAAATTTATGAACTCAAAGGTTCTTTCGCATATTCAGCGAACAGTAGCACCAGCTAACCCACTTTATCTTCCATACGAAGTGCTTATAAACTGTTTGGAAGAATTGTACGCATTTTATCAAGAAGAATGGGCAGCAAACTATCGTTTTGTGTTTCGAGAACAGTTTATCGGTGAAAGTGTTGTAAACTACATACGTACTTTAAAGAGAATTTTAAATAACGCCAGTCCTTTTCTTATAAGAGAAGACATTCTAATGTGGCGATTTGTAGATGGATTAAAAGACGATAAGACAAAAAAAATATTGCTTGATTGGAATAATTTAACGCTTGAAAAAGCAATAGTTATCACTGCGCAATTAGAATTAAATCCACTTCCGAGTAAAACAAATTAAGTACTCAAGAAAGAGAACTCAATTGGACAACGTATTGGCAGAAAGATGAACATAATACAATACAAAAAAATATATACCTCTACATTTATACATTTACTGGTAATTTTAACCAGAAAATATTATAAAGTTTCTCTTTTAATCGAATGACACTTTATAACAATACAAAATTATCTACGAGTACGAAAAATATTTAATTAAAATATAAATTTTTCCATAAATTTTGATAAAACATATTGACTTTATTTATATTGTTACCTATGCAAAGGTAAAAAGAAAAAATGTCTAATAGAACTGTGTTTTTAGTGGTAAACAATAACCTTATTTACCACCGCATGGTCAAAAATTTTATTCTTGATATCATGTCTATATTATATTTATATTTGTATACTTTTACTGTTATTCTATATTTATTTATACAAAAGATGTAATTTTTTTATCATTTGTAAAAGTTCGATAAGCAATAAGGAAAATTGTTAATTTTTCCTTAAAAAGTTTTATTATTATTTATAATATAATAGTTCTTTAAAAATATTACCGAAAAGAATTAAAATTTGTATGTAAAGACAGCAATATTAAACTACACTGCTAAGATTATTTATATATGGAAAGTTTATGTGACCCTAGTAATAAACAAATGCGTATCAAAATATCAAATGTTCAAAGTGAAAAAAATGTGTTATATACACGATTACAATTTTTAAAATATTAATAAGTTTACAATAACATTATCATCTTTAGAAAGACAATAAAAAAGAATAAATAGATACCTTATGGCGTCTGTAAACGTTTAAATTCACGATACATTGTAAACTATTTATTATGATGAAATAAAATTGATACTTCAATCAAGGACACATTTGATGTACAAAATATCGTTCTAATACCTCTCCTTT